GTCTCTTCCAACTCTTTGATTCTATGACAGCCTTGTTTGCGCTTCGCTCTGGGAACCATCCCTTTCCTTTAGATTGGAAGAGACCAGAGGTCACCTATCTTCTCCCCTTTTTTCTCCCCCCCCCCTTTTTAAGTAAAGGATGTATAAAAAATGAGGGTGCAGATAAAAGCAATGTTACATGGAAATGAAGTCTGTATAAATATGAGCACCCATGGAAACCAAGAGGGTCTTCTCTTCTGCCGTCTCCCCGTTATGTAACGTCCTCTTCTCCAAAGCCCACCTGGTGCAGAGGTTGATGCAACTCCAGACTCCAGGTCTACATTATCATCCCTTTCCTTTTAAAATGAATTTCAACTCATAAACCATTAATAAGAAATGTTTAAAACAGTAATACCTAAACAATTGTGTTTCGGGAACACAAGCTCATGTTTCAAAGAAACACATTTTTCACCACACTGCAGAGCTGAAGGTAATCCGTGAAGCCTGGGGTGGCTGCAACACATCCACCGCTCCCCATTCATGAGCAAAGGAAGGGCGGGAAGGATGTCAATGCTTTCGGGAGGCAGGAAAAGGAGGGCAGGGGGGCCTGCAAAGACAGGAGGGGAGGGTGGACTCAAAAGGAGCCACGCGGAGGAGGAATCCCTGCAGCCTCAGAAAAGTTATGAGTCTGGCCTTCCAAGGAGGAGAAGAGAGTGTTTCCCCTTTAAAATCTGGGTCTGTTTCCTACAGGACTCTAGAGTTTGTAGTTGAGAGAGGCCCAGCCCCCCCCCCCCCCCGGCTGAGGATCCTAAAGGCCCCTCCCTGAACACCTTGCAGTGTAAGAAATCGCACACAGAGAATCTTTGTGCCTCTCCCCTTTGTACCTGAGGAAAGATTGTTCGTAGTTTGCCAAGTGTCACCAGGCAATGGGCACCTTCCCTCTTCCTCTTGGTTTGCTACAGCACTAGACTTCCTCTTCGTGTTCCATGACATCTTTCTCTGTTCAACTCCTGAAGAGATTTCCCTCTCATTTCTCTGGCAGGTAACTTCGGAACAAGTTCTGCGAAGAACGCCTTGTGAGAGCTTTGCCTGAGGAGTGCTGTAAGTTCAAAGTGACTTCAAGATACACAGCAATGACAACAAGAAAAATAAGTACTAGAAAAATATTTTTGAGGCTGCATACCTGTGCTGTTAAGGGGGGAAATAAGATTTTGCTGTAAAAAGAGAGGCTTGGGAAACCAAGCAGAAGGCTACAGCAATACAAAAACCGCTGTTCAGGAGGTTATATGTGTGAACCCCTGGCATCATATTTGAATTCTAAATGTAAAAGAATGGCAAGCACTCTACCTTCCTATCCTAGATCAGACACATGGGAGAAGTTACATCAGTGTATGGAGTGTGGAAAACAATTTGATTGCGAACGTAATCTTACTGTACATGAACGGACCCACACAGGGGAGAAGCCATATCAATGCATGGAATGTGGAAAATGCTTCAGTCAGAGTGGCCATCTACGGTCCCATCAAAGGAAGCACACAGGGGAGAAGCCATATAAATGCATGGAATGTGGAGAAAGCTTCAGTCGTGGAGATGGTCTGCATTCCCATCAAAGAAAGCACACAGGGGAGAAGCCATATAAATGTATGGAATGTGGAAAGAGCTTCAGTCATGGAGATAGTCTGCGTTCCCATCAAAGGAAGCACACAGGGGAGAAGCCATATGAATGTATGGAATGTGGAGAAAGCTTCAGTGAGAGTGGCACTCTACGTTCCCATCAAAGGATCCACACAAGGGAGAAGCCATATGAATGTATGGAATGTGGAAAATGCTTCAGTCAGAGTGGCCATCTACGTTCCCATCAAAGGATCCACACAAGGGAGAAGCCATATAAATGCATGGAATGTGGAAAGAGCTTCAGTCGGAGTGACACTCTATGTTCCCATCAAAGGACGCACACAGGGGAGAAGCCATATCAATGCATGGAATGTGGAAAATGCTTCAGTCAGAGTAGCCACCTACGTTCCCATCAAAGGAGCCACACAGGGGAAAAGGCACATATATGCATGGAATGTGGAAAGAGATTCAGTGAGAGTGGCCATCTACGTTCCCATCAAAGAACGCACACAGGGGAAAAGCCATATAAATGTATGGAATGTGGAGAAAGCTTCAGTAAGAGCGGCAATCTACGTTCCCATCAAAGGACGCACACAGGGGTGAAGCCACATAAATGCATGGAATGTGGAGAAAGCTTCAGTCTGAGTGGCAATCTACGGTCCCATCAAAGGATCCACACAGGGGAGAAGCCGCATCAATGTATGGAATGTGGAAAGAGCTTCAGTCAGAGTGGCAATCTACGTTCCCACCAAATGACTCACATACTACAGAAGCCATAGAAGTGCATAGAATGTGGAGAAAGTTTCAGTCAGAGTAACTATCTAGATTCCTTCCAAATCTCTCTACATTGCTTTCAAAGGAGCCACATCGTAGAGAAGCCACATAAATGCACGGAATGTGGGAATAGCTTTAGAGGATGTTCAGCATACAATAAACATCACGGAACTCATGCGCCGCTAGAGGAAACCTGCCTTTCAGTTTCTGAGCTCTCTTTCAAAAAATATTGGAATGAAAGGGGAAGGCCGGCACCTGGCTCTCTCTCTCTCTCTCTCTCTCTACCATGGACTAGTTTGTGTGGCCTTGGTCGACGGCTACTGGGAGCAGGTCTCACTCAGAAGGGGATTTTTCTCCGTATTGCAGCAAGCTCCGAAGGGGTTCCCCTAGCCTCCTCCATAAGAAACCCGTCACAGGCTTCTAGGGTGATCTGTGGAGGTTTGCTGAAAGGAGCAGCAGCTGAGGTCTCTGGAGAAAAGGGTTCTGAGAAAGAAGAGCTCTTTGGTAGCAGTCAATGTCGTCTCTTCATACCCTGGTCTCACGTCTTGGCTCTGTTGCCCCTCGGTTAGAATTTTGGCCTCTAGCCATGTACCTGTCACCCTTTTCTGGACTTTGTTGTATCCTGAATAGTTGATTATACATTCTGGACTGACTTCTGGTTGAGAATTCACAACATGTTGTGAATGAGAACTTATTGCTTAATGTTTATTATAGATGTTTTTCTTGATTGAATCATTGATGTTTATATAGATTTTGCCCATGGTGTTGATACAATAATAATCTTAGTGTATGTAATATATGCATTGTGTAATTTAGCGTTATAATTGGTATTGCCGAAGGCTTTTATGGCCAGAATCACTGGGTTGTGGTAGGTTTTTTCAGGCTGTATGGCCATGGAGAGAATGCCTCTAGACCATGGCCATACAGCCCGAAAAAACCTACAACAACCCAATAATTGATTTAGTTATTGAACAACTTAACACTTATACATTGATACATAGATATCGGTTGCTTTTTACTGTTTAATGGCAAAGGGTCCCTTAGGAAACACAGCACATCTCCCTCACTGCAGCGCATGGAAGACAAGGAATGGTGACAACGGCTGGTGAAGATTCACGTCCGTCAGTTGAGATGGACAAATTAACTAAATTGATGAAGCATTTAAGGGAACAGAGAGAAAAATCATATCGTGAGTGAGAGGTGGATAGACTAGTGTTTGTTGTCTGTCAGTTTTGTTCTCGTTGTGCAAGGTGTGTGTCCTTCACTTTACATTTGTTAAGTAGTACTTTTTAATAAAAGTACCAAAATTGTAATTTGTGTAAAGAACATTAAAGACCAAATTTGTAATTTGTATCAACATGTTTTGTTGTGTTTTTGTTTTTTGTCCTTGGATAAAAATTGGTGTGTTTTTGTTTTTTTTTTAATAAAGTGTGCGACATCAGTTTAAAAAGCCAGTGTGATTCTAGGCGGTCCCAATGGGAGCGTGAGGTCTAGATCCGGGAAAGTTTGAGCCCACTCTCTTCTAGACGTGGATCAGGCCTCCCCTGGAATCACCCTGCGCCCGGTTCCAAGCAGCACAATTCCAGCAAGATTTTGAGATGCTGGAATGTCTCCCGAGAAAAGCTATAGGGAACGGCTGAGGGAGCCGGGGATGTTTAGTTTGGAGGGGGAAAGGCCGAGCTCTCCCTGCTGCTCTGGAGACTCACATATAAAGCAACTGATTCACGTTGCAGGAAAGAACCTTCCACCTCAACTGTAGGAAGCATTTCCTGATGGGAAGAGCTGTTCTGCCATGGAAGCATTGTCCCATCTCAGGAGCCCCCCTTCCCAAGCCCTGGCCTCCCACCTCCTGGGGACTCCGTGTCCCAGAATCCCTGATCTTGGAACAAGGCAGCTTGAGGCATTTGGATGTTGAAGTCCAAGAAATCCCTGCTGAGGATTTAGAAAGAAACAAGGAAAATGAGCATTGAATATCTGCCACCACTTTAAAATGTACTGGTCACTTCAGATCAGTTATATATTAACTAAGCGATGGAAGAATGGCTTCAAACTACAAGAGAGGAGATTCCATCTGAACATGAGGAAGAACTTCCTGACTGTGAGAGCCGTTCAGCAGTGGAACTCTCTGCCCCGGAGTGTGGTGGAGGCTCCTTCTTTGGAAGCTTTGAAACAGAGGCTGGATGGCCATCAGTCAGGGGTGCTTTGAATGCAATATTCCTGCTTCTTGGCAGAATGGGGTTGGACTGGATGATGGCCCAGGAGGTCTCTTCCAACTCTTTGATCCTTGATTCTATGATTCCCTAGTCCATGGCCAATTGGCCAACTGTCAGTGGTTGTGGTGGTGCCCCCTTCTGCCAGGAAGAAGGGAGTTGGACCCGATGGCCCTTGGGGTTTTCCTCCAACTGTAGAAATTGGTTGATAGTTGGTTTCTTCTTTTTTTTTTTTTTTTTTTTTTTTAATAATCTTTATTAAGTTTTCACAAGAAAAAGAAATTAAAATTAAGATCAAAAGCGTGGGAGGGGGTAGACCGGGGAGAGTAGAGGCAGGGGGTGTGGGGGGAGGGGTGTTGAGGGGGCGGATGGGGAAGGGAGAGTTTAGGGTAGCGATAGGGATGGGAGGGGGGTTTAGGAAAGAAAATTAAAAACTTGTGACTTCCCGGTATCTTCTTCAGGGTCTCTTCTTATCCATTGGTTTTCTTCTGTTTCTTGTCTGTATCTTTCTCTCTCTCTTCTCCATCTTTTTCGCTTTCAGAGGTTTTATCCTATTCTTTTATAAGGATCTTCTTGTTTCTTTCTTTTAAGTATTCTAGAACGTTCTCCCAGCTTGTTTCTTTTCTGTTTATCCCTTTGTTCCTTAATACTAGAGAGGTAAGTCTGTCCATGTTTTTAATCTCTAGTATCTTCGTTAAGCGTTCATCCTCCTCCGGGATTTCTTTCTGCTTCCACTTTCGTGCATAACAGATTCTAGCTGCCGTCATCATCAGAGACATCAATTTATCTGTGTTTGGGTCTAGTTCTAGGTCTTGCATTCCTAATAGGAATATCTCTGGTTTCCAGGGTATGCTGATTTTCAATATCCTTTGCACTTCCTTTTGTACTTCCTTCCAGTATCTTTTCGCTTTTGGACACAACCACCACATGTGGTAGAACGACCCTTCGGTTTCCCCACATTTCCAGCATTTCGTCGTCATGTTTCTGTAGGTCTTCCCTAGTTTCTTTGGTGTCATGTACCATCTATACGCGATCTTTGTCCAGTTCTCTTTTAAGTCTGTCGCATAACAATACTTAAGTCTTCTTCTCCACGCTTCTTCCCATTCTTCTTTTCTGATTGTTCTTCCTAGATTTTCATTCCATCTCCTCATATATGTTTCGCCTTTTTTTGACTCTAATTCCCATTCCAGAAGTTTTCTGTAAATTTTCGTTATCAGTTTCTCTCCTGACTCCATTATTTTGTCCCAAAAATTTTTTTCTAGAGTAAACCCGATTTCCTTATCCTTTTTGAATCTCTCTTTAATTTGCCAATATTGTAGCCATGTAATTTTTTGATCTAGCGTATTTAATTCGTGTTGTGCTTTTAGTGTCACCTCCCCTCCCTCTTTTTTTATCATGTCCTTATATTTTGGCCATTCGTGCCATCCCATGCATCTTCTTTGATCAGCTTCTAGAGGGGATATCCATATCGGTGTTTTTTTGTATAATTTGTTCTTGTATTTTTCCCAAATCTTCAGTATTGTGGATCGTACGAAATGATTCCCAAAGTTTTTCTCAGTCTTTTTTCCCTTGTACCAAATATATGTATGCCAACCCTCCCTTAATTCTATCCCCTCCAGGATCAGCAGCTTCTTTTTTTCCAGCAACGCCCAATCTCTTGCCCATATTAGGGCATTTGAGTCGAAATATAGTTTTAAGTCCGGCGTGGATAGTCCCCCTTTCTCCTTACGTTCTCTCATATTATCGTAGTGGATTCTTGGTTTTTTCTTTTTCCAAATGAACCTTGCTACATCTCTATTCCATTCTTTTAGTATGTTCTGGTTTCTTACTATCGGCAAGTTCTGAAAGAGGAACATCATTTTTGGTATTACCATTGTTTTTATCATTGATATACGTCCCATTAACGACAGATTCAAATTGTTCCATCTTTCCATATCCTTTTTTATTTCTTTCCATTTGGCTGTGTAATTGTTTTGGAGTAATTGTAAGTTTCTGGCTGTCAATATTATCCCTAAGTATTTTAACTTTGTGACTATTTGTATCTTCCAATTATCTCTTATTTCATTTTGTTCTTTTTTCTTGATGTTTTTTGTTAGTGCTTTAGTTTTCTCCATGTTAATTTTAAATCCTGAAACCTCTCCAAATTTCTTTATTACGTTGAGCCAATTTTCTAATTTCTGTTTGGGGTCCTCAATTATGCATATGACGTCATCGGCATATGCCCGTATTTTGTATTCTTGTCCTTGTATTTTCGCTCCTTTTAGGTCTTTATCCTCTCTCAATTTGTTCAATAATATCTCCAAGGTTAAGATGAACAGGAGTGGGGAAAGGGGGCATCCCTGTCTTGTTCCCTTCTTGATTTCTATTTTTTCTGTTTCTCTTCCATTTACTATAATCCTTGCCTCTTGTCTGTCATATATTGCCTCTATTGCATTCAAGAAGTAGAAGCCTATGTCCATTTCCTTCATTATAATTTTTAAGAATTTCCAATTCACATTATCAAACGCTTTTTCCGCGTCTAGGGTTAGGAACATTACTTTGTTTTGGTGTTTAATTTCGTAATATTCTATTAGGTCAATAATTGTTCTTACATTTTCTTTTTGGTTCCTGTTTGGCAAAAATCCTGATTGTTCCTCTTTTATGTATTCACTTAGTACTTTTTTGAGTCTTTCTGTCATGATGTTACTGAAGATTTTGTAGTCGACATTCAACAAAGATATCGGTCTGTAGTTCTTAACTTCTTCCGGGTCAGATTTCTCTTTATGTATAACGCATATGTTCGCTTGCCTCCACGAGTTTGGGATCTCTTTATATATTCTTGCTCTGTTTGCTATTTCTTTTAAGTATGGGATGAGTTCTTTTTGAAATATTTTGTAGTAGATTGCAGAAAAACCGTCCGGTCCGGGTGATTTGTTTGGTTTCAGATTTTTAATTGCTTGTTCAATTTCTTGTTCTGTTATTTCTTTATTTAAATTTTCTCTTTGAAGGTCTGATATCCTTTGTATTTTGTGATTTGTTAGGTAGTCGTAAATTTTTTCTTCCTCGATATCTTCTTCCTGATATAAGTCTTTATAGAACTTGAAAAACTGCTTCTTTATTTCCTCTTCCTGTGTTAGGATTCTCTCTTTGTCTCTTAATTTGGTTATGTAGTTTGCTTCTCTTCTTTTCCTGATCTTTCTAGTGAGCCATCTCCCCGGTTTATTTGCGTTCATGAAGGAATCTAGTTTCATAAATCTTAACTCTTTTTCTCTTTCTTCAATTTCCAATGAATCTCTTTGCTTGTGTAGAAGCTCCAGGGTTTGTATTATTTCTTTCTTTTTGGGGTCTGTTTTTAGCTTTGTTTCTTCCTTCTTTATTTCATCCATTATTTCTTTCATCTTTTGGGCTTTTAATTTGTTTTTTATTATTTTTTGCTGAATGAAATTCCCTCTCATTACAGCCTTGCTCGCTTCCCATAATGAGGTTAGACTTGTTCCTGGTTTATCGTTTAATTCGAAGTATTCTTTCAATAGCTTCCTATTTTTTTTATGTCTTCTTCCCTTTTTAAAAGGTTCTCGTCCAGCCTCCATCTTTTAGGTTTTTCTGAAATTCCTAATTCTAAGATCACCGGGCAGTGATCTGAATCTATTCTTGGCAGAATTTTGGTCTTTGTGATGCTAATTTTTAGAGATGTTGAGGTCCAGATCATATCGATTCGTGACCAACTCCGATGCCTGGCCGAGTAGTACGTATAATCTTTTTCTAGTTCATTCCTTGATCTCCAGCTGTCTTCTAGATTTAGTTCTTGCATGAGGTTCTTCATTGTTTTGGGTAATTCTCCTTTTCCTTTCTTCATTTTCTCTTTCTTCTCTTCTGGGCTTCTTCTGTCCAATTCATTATTTAGGACTCCGTTGAAGTCTCCCATTAGGATTAGATGATCATATTCTTGGCTTTCAATATTTTTCTTAAGGTTTTCTGCAAATTTTGTTTTAGAGTCGTTCGGCGCATAAACGTTGCATATTAAAATTTTCTTGTTTTTTATCCTGATATTTACCCCCAGGTATCTCCCCTCCTCATCTTTGAATGCCAAGTTAGCTGGGATATTTCTGTTGATATAGGTTACTACCCCCCTTTTCTTTTCCTGCGCTGACGCATAAAATATTTGCCCTAGGTATTTATTTTCCAAGTGTTTTATGTGCCTGCTCATTATGTGTGTTTCTTGGAGAGAAACGACATGATAGCCACTTTTTTTTAATCTGTGAAAGACTTTATTTCTTTTACATGGTGAGTTCAGACCATTCGAGTTATTCGAGTAGATCTTTAAAACTTCTAACATTTATCTTCTTCTTCCTGGTTTCTTTCTTCTTCTTCTTCTGTTGTGTTCCCGTCCTCTTCCTCTTCTCCCTCTATTTCCTCTTCTTCCGTGTCTAATATGTTCGGGGTGTCTCTTCCATCTTCTGAATTTTTCCTGAGTTCTTCCTTCTCTGCCAGTTCTTCCAGGGAGTCCGTGCGTTTTTTCTTCTTCGTCCTCCCTTCCTCATGTTCTCTTTCTTTCGGTTTCTTATTCTTTTTTATCTTCTGCAGGAATTCCTTTGCTCTTTCTTCATCCTTTATCCAGTATCTCTTGTCTTCATATGTTAGCATCAGGCCTTCATCCCGCTCCCATCTAAATCTTATCTTCTGATTCTTTAATTCCTCCGTTAGAAAGGCATATTTTCTTCTTTTTTTCAGGACCGTACTTGGAAATTCTTTCAGAATTATTATTTTCTTTCCCTTGTAATATATATTTCTTCTGTTATTTACTCTCAGTATGTCATCTCTTGCCGTCTTCTTTGTGAAGTGTACAATTACATCCCGTGCAGTTTTGTTTCTTTTTGCGTAATTTGTATTGATCCTGTATATTCTGTCAGTCCGTTCTTTCATCTCCTGCTTTGGGCATTCCATTAATTCCGTGAGAATCTCTATCACTTTTGCACTTATGTCTTCTTTCACTTCTTCTTGGATATTTCTTAGCCTTAGCTGAAATTCCATGTCTTTGGCCTCTGTTTCCTCTTGTTTTGCTTCCAGCCTTGAGTTCTTCAATTCCAATTTCTTTATATGTGCTTGGACTTTTGCTTGTGTTTCTTTGACTTCTTTCTTCTCCTTCTGGAGCTCGTTGATTTCTTGTTGCATCACCATCATTTCTGTCCTCATCTTCCCTATTTCTTCTTTTAGCTCCTTCTTTAAGTCCAGCATTTGCTCTTGTTGTGTTTTCTGATAGGCCTCCTGTTTTACTTGGTACGCGTCCTGTTTTTCTTGAATTTTTTGAATCTCTGCCAGTACATTGCACATCATTTCCTTCAGTGTGGGAGCCGGGTCTTTTGGTAGCGTCTCATCTGACATTGAGGTTCTTCTTAGTGTTGCCTTGTTTTCTTTCTCTCCTTTCTTTGTCACGGACATTTTCTTTTCTGTTTGACTTCAGGTTCTTCTTCCTTCTTATTCTTTCCCTCCTTCCTTCTGTGTCTTCTGGACTCTTATTTCAGCTTCACTTTGAATTCTTTGGTTGTCTTTTCTTGTATCTGTTTTAGTGAGTTAAATCACCATTAGTTGTTTCTGCTATGTATTCTTACTGGTCTAAGTCTATTGTCTTCTGGGTCTACTATCCTCTGGCTCTTTTGGCCCCTTCCTTTATTTTATTTTATTCTCCTTGATTTTCCTCTATTTCTTCTCCTAATTTCTTTCTATTGTCTTAATTCTTTATTCTTAATTTTTATTTTTATTCTTCTATTTTCTTATTCCAATTTTCCTTGCTGTATTATGCTATCGTTATTGTTAAGTTTATTACTCTTATATTTATATTTGTTAATTGTATTTATTGTAATTATTGTAATTCTGTGGCTCTTTTGTCGCTATTCTTTAAAGTTTCAGGTATATTATTGACTTTACCTTTCTGCCGTTTTTTCCTCTTTGCCGCTTCAACTTTTGTCTTTCTCCTTCTTTCCTCCTCTTCTCTTTTACCCAGGAGATTCTCCTTCCTCTCTATTCTCTGTTGCGCTTCTGCTTCTGTGATTATTCTGTCCCTCCTGGCCTTCTCTGGCAATTTCCCCTCTGTCTCTGCGCCTTTTTGGCTTCACTTCCGCCCTTTGCCTTCCTCTTCTCTTCTCGCGGTCTCTTTGGTCCCTTCTCGCGGGGTCCCTCTCTGTTCTCGCGATGCTCCTTCCTAGCGGCGATCTCTTTTCCTCTCGCGTTGTTTTTCGTCTCTTCCGGGTGTAGTACCTCCGCGTGGCTCAGTCTCTCCGCCCCTCTCAACTCCGGCCGCCAGGTCCAGCCTCCAGCTCTCTAGACTAAACAATCCTACAGCTCAAGGTCAGTCTTTCTTGTTCTTCCTTGTTTCTTCTCCTTCGAGTTTATTATTTATTTATTTATTTATTTGTCTATTCCTCTATTCCTCTATCCTTCTGAATCTTTCCGTATCCTTTTTTTTTTTTTTTTTTTTTTTTCTGCTTTATTTCTGTATCCGTATCTTTGTTTTATCTTTCCTTTTTCTTTCTCTTTTGGCGTCTCCTACGTTTAGTTTGTTGTAATTACTTTAATTGTTTCCTTCCTTTTTTATGTTTATGCGGCAGTTCAGCGTATCGGTGATACAACCTTAATCTTCTCTTTGTCAGTGGTGTTTGCTCCTTTTCTATCCTCTAGCCCTCCTTGTTTTTAAATCTCCGACCTCTTGTTAGGCTAGACTTAACTTCTCTCTTCTCTTCCTTTCTACTTCTTTGTCTGTCTGTGTATCTACTTTCTCCGTCCTCTCTTTTCTTTATATAGCTTTACTCCATATTTTCCTCAGATCCTTCGTTTCATCTTCCTTCCCCTTGTTCGGGGTTTCCTTCCCACCTTTTCCCTTATCTCCGCTGTGGGGAAGAGTCCCAGCCCTTTTCCAATACCTTCTTCGTGTAGATTTATGTCTTTTCTCCTCCTTACCTCCGCTCCTTCTCCGTCTCCTTCTTCTTCAGCTAAAATGCGCGTGGCTGGAAATTTTTGCCGGCTTTCGCCCGCAGCCGATCAGGGTGGCCCGCCGTACCTTGGGGTCAAACCGGATCCTTTCGGGGGCCTCCTCTTGAGGAGAAGGTCCCCTTTTGGACCGTCGGATGACCCCTCCGGTTCCGCTGTTCCTCCTGTCTCTATCCGCAGGAGGAAGGGAGCTCTTGCTCTACCCAGCCATTCCCTGTCGCTCACACACCTTGCAGAGCGCTAGTGTGTGCAGCTTTCCGCCATGTTCCGCGCACCGGAAGTCGATAGTTGGTTTCTTCTTTGGGTTAATATGAGAGAAATTCTTTCCTTTTTTTTAAGGTTCTGACAAAACGTTAAAAAATTACCCAAAATTGGTAGATGTATGAATATGTCTGAAAGTTGGGGGGACTGATCCCCTGTTACCTTATGTCATTCCCTAAACAATTCAAGGAGGTTGCTCTTTTGTTTTTAATGTATTTCCTAAATTCTTTTTTTAAATTCCTAAAAATCAGTGTATCATCTAAACAGTCTGAAATTTGGTATGCCAACAGTGGAGGATGTGTTGTACCACTGTGGCATGTTTCATCAGGATAGCTCAAAAATGAGGGAGAGAGAAGCCCCTGAAGTTTCCCCCACGTCCTGCTATTTTTTCCCCTATTGCGCATGCACATCGGCCATTAACGAACCACTTCTGAAGGTTTGGAAAGTTTTGAAATTTACATTATTACATTATTAGTCCAAAGTTATTTCTTTGGACTCCAGCTCCCATAACGTTTTCCCCACAGAAAGACCTAAGGCAGTGTTTCTCAACCTGGGGGTCGGGAGCCCTGGGGGGGGTCGTGAGAGGGTTTCAGAGGGGTCACCAAAGACCATCAGAAAACACGTATTCCTGATGGTCTTTGGAATCCCTTTGGCATAGTTGTTTGGGTTCACAGTACTCTCTGGATTTAGGTGAACTACATCTCCCCTAAATCATGGCCAATTCATCCCAAATCCTTCCAGTATTTTCTGTTGGTCATTGGGGTCTCTGTGTGGCCCAATTCTGTCATTGGTGGGGTTCGGAATGCTCTTTGGTTGTAGGTGAACTATGAATCCCAGTAACTAGAACTCCCAAATGTCAAGATTCTATTTTCTCCAGACTCCACCAGTGTTCCCATTTGAGCATATTGAGTATTCACGTAGAGTTTGGTCCAGATCCATCATTGTTTGAGTCCACGGTGCTCTTTGGATGAACTACAACTCCAAAACTCAAGATCAGTGCCCACCAAACCCTTCCAGTATTTTCCGTTGTTCATGGGGGTTCTGTGTGCCAAGTTTGGTTCAATTCCATCATTAGTGAAGTTAAGGATGCTAGCCCGTCGGACTATTTGGAGCTCCCAAACAGTCTTCAAAGGCAACCCAAGATGGAGTGCATTGCAGCAATCTATTTGGGGTGAAGCAAGAGCGTGGACCACCGTGGCCAAGTCGGACGTCCCAAGGTACGGGTGCAACTGGCACACCAGTTTTAATGGTGCAAAAGCCGCCCTGCCACAAAGCTGCACTTCCAGAGGGAGCGCCACCCCGTCCAGCACAAGCTGTCACCCTATGCCCTGTTTGGCCTTACGGCTGACCAGAAGGACCTCTGTCTTGTTTGGATTCAGTTTCAATTTGTTCGCCCTCATCCAGTCCGGCACAGATGCCTCAGAGGGCTGAGGTCTGTGGGAAAGTAGCTAAGTGGGGTTGATATATCTGTGGGAAGCCGGGCAGGAAGCAGCCAGGCTTTGGACCTTCAAGGCCATTCAATGCTAATGAAGGTAGTCAATGGAAACATCCGCACTTGCCTCCAACAGACAGGGAGTCCTTCCTCTCTCCCAGCCTGGGCATCACTCCACAGGGATGTATGTATGCAGACCCCACTCGCCCAGTTTGCAACAGGACTCCCTCCCAACCTCTGAGGATGCCTGCCAGGGAGAGATGGAGGGGAAGTGTCAGGAGAGAGTGCTTCTGGAACCTGGCCAGGCAGCCCGGAAAACCATTCACAGCAACAACCCAGCAACAGTGATGCATGTTGTGCCTGTGAGAGCTCCTTCACCATTGGCCCCCCAGAGAGAGAGAGGGAGGGAGAGAAGAGAGGAGCCTCCCCAGCACGGCCAGCCCTCCCTCCGTCCCTCCCTCTTCCTCCGCAGGGAGCCCCGTCCCGGCTGGGCCAGGAAGGAGAGAGAGGCCAGGCCTCTTCGGGAGAAGGAGCTGCAGCCTAGGTCTCTCTCCCGACCTCCTTCCTTCCTGCAGCCCGGCTCCTTTAAGGCCAAGCCCCGCCCCTCTTTGGGCACACACGCCTCCTCCCGCCATGACAGCGCCGGGCGGAAGTAGGGCTTCTGGGTGACGTCACGGCCAGGCCGTTGGAGACAGAGGGAAGGGGGGGAGGCCTCCGCGGGAGGAAGTGAGGCGGCGCTTCCGGTTGGGCCTAGCCGAGGGAGAGAGAGCCACGCTTCTTCCCAGGTGGAGTGGAATCCTCCTCCCGCGTGGGAGTGGAAGGGGAGGGGAGGAAGGCAGGCCCCGGGAGTGTGGGAGGGAGGGAGGAGCAGGAGACTCTTCCGGGCGGCCTGGCCTGGCCTCCTCCTGGGATTCCCTCAGCCCCGCCCGGCCCAGGGAGGAGGAGGAAGAGTAGGCCTGAGGCCTGTGCTCGGGAGTCGGGCTCAGCCTGGGAATCAGCCCCGGAAGGGTGGGTGGCCTCCTCCTCCTCCTTCTCCTCTTCGGGAGTGGAGGGAGGGAGGGAGGGGGGCGCCCCTCGGGAAAGGGCCCCTTGTCGCCTGCGGGCTCCCCGTCTGCCAGGCTGGGCCCACATCCGTGCCTGGTGGGCTTCGCAGTGGCCTCTGGGCGAGGGGGGAGGCCCTGCAGCTCCCTCCCAAACCCCACCTGGGGGCAAAGGGGGTCCCGGTGGGTGGGGGCGGGGGGGAGTCCCTCAGCTGTGGGGGTGGCCGTGGGATCTGGAAGAGGGAGGCAGTAGGGAATCCCTTGCCCACAAACACACATCTATACAGACAAGCACATAGAGAGAGAGAGAGAGTTAGACAGAGAGAGATACACAGAGAGATAAATAGATAGCCAGAGAGATAGATAGAAAGACAGGTAGAGAGATAGGCAAAGAGATAGATAGATACACAGAGAGATAGATAGATAGATAGATAGATAGATAGAGAGAGAGAGATAGACAGAGAGATAGATAGAGAGATAGACAGAGAGATATATAGATACACAGAGATAGATAGACAGAGAGATAGACACACAGAGATAGACAGATAGATAGACAGACATAGAGATAGATAGATAGACAGACAGAGAGATAGATAGATACACAGAGAGAGAGAGAGATACACAGAGAGATAGATAGATAGATAGATATAGAGATAGATAGATAGATAGATAGATAGACATAGCGATAGATAGATAGATAGATAGATAGACAGACAGACAGACATAGATAGATAGATAGACATAGAGATAGATAGATAGATAGATAGATAGATAGACAGACATAGAGATAGATAGATAGATAGATACACAGAGAGATAGATAGATA